CCTTTCAGCTTCTGGGCACACTTGCCCAACTCCCAGTCGCCAGTACTTGCAGTGATTCCAGTGGGTGCTTTCTCCAGCTGTTGGGTCCTGCTTCACCCACATTGCTGGAAAGACCAGGGAACTCATGTCTCCTGGAAGCAGCCCTCAACTAAAGGCTGAAGGGTTAGTAGTAAACACTTGGCTCTCTTCCCCTTCAGGTGGGATCTCTCAGAGGTGCGTTCTACACTCTCTGCAGGGGTCCCCAGTGGGGTCGGCGTCCAGTGCCCACAGTAGTCACTTGCCTGATAGTGAAGCTTTATCAGCTCCTTCCCTCCCCTGTCTCACTTCCTCAATCCTCTACCAGTGTTTTCTGGGATCACCTCCCAAATAAACTACTGTCGATCCTCATTATTCACAAATTCCATACTTACAAATTTGCTAACATTTATTTGTAACCCCAAAATTGATACTCACAGTGCTTCTGTGGTTATTCGTGGACATGTGCATAATGGTGAAAAATCTGTGTTGTCCCGAGCGTTCATTCCCAGCTGAGGTTGAACAAGGTAACTCTCTGCCTTCTTGCTCAGCTCTCATCCTGTACAGTAGTGTCTTTTCTCAGTCTATTTAGTGCCACATCTTTTGCATTTTTATGCTTCTTCTTGGTGATTTCAGTGTTTAAAATGGCCCCCCAAGCACAGTGCTGAAGTGCCCTATAGTGCTCCTAAGCACGAGAAGGCTCTGATGTGTCTTATGGTGAAGGGACATACGCTACAAAAGTTTCGTTCAGGCAGGTGTTATAATGCTGTTGGCCACGAGTTAATGAATCAACATTGTATATTAAATAAGGTGTCTTTAAACAGAAACATACATAGAAAAGGTTATGTATCGATCAGCTGACAAAAATGTAACCAGAAGCTCGCAGGAGCCAATGGTTTAGTATTTGCTATTTCAGTGTTCACAGCGTATTTATAGAACGTAACTACCACGGGTAATGAGACTCCACTGTACTTGCACTGGAATCCTTGTCTCAAGGACTGCTTTGGGGACAAGGGGTCGGGGGGGGCAACCTAAAACAAGTGTCTACCATGTGCTAGCTATGTGCTGGGGATGCAGAGGTGGTGGGACTGAGTCACTTCCTGGAGGGCTCACAACCAAAGAGATTGAAAATATCCATTCTAATATAGCCCAATGGCAGGACTTAAAAGTGTTACGTGAGTTGAGAGAAAGGATGCCGAGGAGAGTCTGTTTAAGACTTCTCAGAGGAGGGCAATTTCGAGCAGAGTCTTAGAGGAGGCATTGGAATGAGGGCAAATCTCTGCAGACACTGGGGTGTGTGAGGAACCGAGCTCCCTGAGAGGCTGCGGGCTTTGGACAGGGGTGGGTTGACTTGTGAGAAGATGCTGATGGCCCTCAACTCCAAACTTACTCTGTAGGGTAGTCGGGAAGGGCCCAGGCCACTCCTGTCCACTCCGGGACAGGCTACCACACTCAGGGCAGAGGTGCAGGTGAGCCTTGGCCTGCCAGTCTACCCCAAGGCCTCTGCCAGAGAGGGCTCCTGTGTTTCACTGAGGAGAAGAAGGATGTGTGAAGGAGCTGGGCTGATGCTGGGCTCTGGCTGCTGCACCAAGCTGAAGGCTATTTGGAAGAGACAGAGCCTGGCCGAAGTGCAGGATGAGTCTGCTGTGCAGAGCAACAGTGGGAAGCCAGAGCAGACTGAGGAAAGGCATGGGCAATGAGGCCTGCCAAGATACCCACTTGGCCTAGGGGACAGGCCCTCTCCCAGTGGTCTGTCCCAGCCCCTGAAATCATCCTTGCACTAGTGATTTGTTCCATTGCAATTTCAATACTAACAATAAACATGGTAGCAGCAAACTTTTATTGAACTCTCACCATCTGTGAGGCACTGTGCTGAGGGCCTGACATGGACCATCCCATGATACCATCCCCACCTCACAGAACACTGCAGCACAATGCTTTCTCAAGGTCAGCTTGCCTAACACTTCACTCCCTAACATTGTATGAAACTTTATCATTTACATATGCCTTTTGCATATATCATATCTTCAGTTTACCTCCAAAAACTACAGCTTAGAGAAGCAAGGTGGTTGGCATAGTGGCTCTTTACAAAAGCTGTCAGTGCTTAGCCTGCAGCCAGTCCTTTGTGCTCCTGGGACTGGCAAACGCCTGTAGGTGAGGGGAGGGTTTTCAGGACTGGAACACACTGCCTGCCACTTCCCAAGGACTCATGGAATGGACCCAGTATCCAGGGGCGGGTTATCCAATAGGCAAGGCTTACTTTGTTTCCTGGATCATCTGTAGTGAACAATTTCGTATTTTTTTACCACATCAAAGAGTCTGCTTCAAGGTATGGCTGACATATGTATCTCTCCCAATCCTACAGCATCTTCCTACAGAATCAAAGCCTCTTTTCAGATTTACAATCCCTGACAGGGCTGGATGACCTGGTAAGCAAGGTAAGCACGGGCTTACTTGTGCTTACTTACTAATCTGTAGTGAACAATCTCACATCTTTGATGTGGTAAAACCCATGTGAATTGTTCACTATAGATGATCTGGTAAGCAAGGTAAAAAAAAAACAAACCCATTGCGGTTGAGTCAATTCTGACTCATAGTGACCCTACAGGGCAGAATAGAACTGCCCCATAGTGTTTCCAAAGAGCACCTGGTGAATTTGAACTGCCTAGCTTTTGGTTAGCAGCCATAGCTCCTAACCACCATGCCACCAGGGTTTCCAAGGTAAGCACCATGCTTACCTTGCCTATTGGATAATCTACCCCTGCCTGTATATGGGCATGGAGATTCCATTTGGATCTTAGCCGAGGCTGCCCCTTATAGAGAGCGCCTGCATTCTTCAAGGCTCATACCGCTCTATTATTGAGGCCAACTGCTGGTTGTTCTTTTTTATTTTTTTATATTATTATTTATATACTTTTGCTGGTCTATTTTAGCGCCTGCATTCTTCAAGGCTCATACCGCTCTATTATTGAGGCCAACTGCTGGTTGTTCTTTTTTATTTTTTTATATTATTATTTATATACTTTTGCTGGTCTATTTTTTTGCACTAGAGTTAAGAAAACGAAATGTTTCTTGTACCTATAACTCTCTTGAAACCAGACAGGTCCATCTCAAAATGTACAGAGCCCAGGCCAAGCATACAAATGGAGGCCCATGAACCATGTGTCTAAATATTTCTAAATTATAAATCAAACAAACAAACTGTAACATAGAGTTTGTTCTATTCTCTTGGCTCCTTAACAACCTGGAAGGCCAGGTTCAAATTTAGAATTTTCAGGCTCCTAGGAGTTCCATGTGGTCATATGGGAAGAGACTATCAGTGTTCCCCACACTGCTCATCCTTGTTCTCTGGGTGAGAGGCCCGCACACACTCCAGAACCGGGCTCGAAGCTGAAGCGTGGTCAAGAAAGATTAAGGCAGGGCAGCTGGCCCCCAGTGGCTAGAACCCTTCATTCTGTGGGGAAGGCCAGGCTGGAGGAAGGCCAAAATGCAGCCCCCTAAAGCCCAGGAGCTTAGAGAGGTATTCTGGCAGTGTTGGAACCAGATATAGATCAAGAAGGCTGTATACTTACAGAAAAACACGGTAAGGCACTTGCGTGTGGGTGTTCCTTGGTGCTCCTTGCTGGAGCTTAATGTTTAATATGCAAAGTTGTCTTCTGTTGAAATCAGATAGTCCAGTGTTTCACTAAGTCTTGGCAGATACGTGGGCTGCATTTGCACCTAACTCTTCTGCTCTCCCTGGGCTCTCCTCCAGTGGGACCCAGGCTCTGGCCACGTGAGCAGGCTTCCAGCATAACCCGAGGTCTCCTGCCTCCAAAATGTCTCCCCGTCTTTGGATCCTGGGTGGAACACATTGTCAAAGGATATTTTTGAGTTAATCGTGGAAAATTGAACTGGATGGGTCTCAGATGAACTGAAAGAATTCTTGTTAATTTTGTTAGGTGTGATAATGGTATAATTCTTAAGAAAACAGACCTTATTGATTAGACAAACATACTGAAGCATTTAAAGATGAAATGATATGTCTGCTGGGATGTGCTTTAAAATTACCCCAAGGCGTGAGGGGGTATGTGTGTGGAGGAGGACAGCGGAAATATAGGTGAAAAAAAGCATGACAAAAGCTGGCTGATGGGTGTGTGTTGGGGGGGGGCATTTTACATTCTTTACTTTGTCTGTTTGAACATTTCCATAATAAAAGTTTAACAAACTCTCAACCCAACACTAATCGTGGAAACTATTAAGCACCAACTACATGCCAGGCATCTGGGGATTAGGAATCTCTGGTCTTTACACAACCCCTTAAAGAAGGCATAGTTTCCTCCTTTATAAAACAAGCATGAGACCTTCTCCCAAAGGGTTGTTGTGAGAATTTAGCGCAACAGCAGATGGAAGGAGCTAGGACGCGCTCAGTAAAGGTACCTTGTATTGAGTCACCAAACCCGTACCCGTTGCCGTCGAGTCGATTCCTACTCATAGCAACCCTATAGGACAGAGTAGAATTGCCCCATAGGGTTTCCAAGGAGCAGCTGGTGGATTTGAACTGTCGACCTTTGGGTTAGCAGCCAAACTCTTAACCATTGCATCACCAGGACTCCTACCGAGTCACAGCCACGTTAAATAGAGCTGGGAGATGAAATCTGACACCGGGTCTCTCCTCCTACAAAGTTCCCAGCTCTTCTTCCAGAAGGTGGTGTCTGAGCTCCAGGGCTGCGGTTTACGCCGGGGTGGGACTGACTGACCTTCACATGGCACCGCCTCTCAGGTCCCCCAGAGTGCCGGCTCCGACCCTCCCTCTCCTCAGAGGTCTCTCTCGGCCGGGCGCAGAACACAGAAACAGCGGCGCGCGGTTAGCAGAGCCGGGGGAGTGGCGGCTCTGCCTCGCCGCCCTGGCCTCCGCTTGGCGGACTGGGACAAGGGACGGCGCTCGGGTAGGGGGCGGGACTAGGTGGGACGTCCCGGCCCCTTCCTGCTTCCTCCCAGAGCCCGCAGGGCCGGCCTCTGAGCCCCGCCTCTGCAGCCGCGCTCCATCCTCCGCGCCAGATCCCGAGGACTGGCCGGATCCCGCCTTCCCCGCTGGGAACGGAGAGGGTTCGGGTAAGCGAGACGCCTTCCTTCTGCATGGTGGGGGGGCGCGCCGGGGCGGGGCCTGGGGGGTGGCCGGGATGGAGCGGGACCCGGGAGCGACGGGGGCGCCCTGGAGGGAACCCGGGGTGGGCGCCGTACTGGGAGGGAATTAGGTGTGGGGGGAGGGGGTGGAGTAGAGAGGCTGAGAGATGGAGTTCTGGGGAGGGGTCTGAACCTGGGGAAGGCTATTCGGCGGGCTGGCAGGAGGAATGGGGAAGTGGGGGGAAGTGACCGGTGTAAGGGTTCCGGGGTGGCCGGCAGGGGGCGCTGGGGACGAGGGGCGGAATGTGCTGCCAGAGCACCCCAGCCTTTCACCTCCCAGAGGACACGGACAGCCCTATGGACCCCTGAAAGGGACCCCCTGTCCTTTAGGTAGTTCCAGGACTTGCTCTCCCACACCTGGGTGTCTGGACTTAATTGACCTGTGCACTCGTCCCGTCCCTGTCTATTCATTTCAAAACCACAGCGCACTAGGGCCATAGTTTATATGTGGGTGTCACGCAAGAGACCCGTTCACCTCTTCTCTCCCGCACAGTGTCTCTGTAGCCCCTCATCACCCCAAAGAACATTCGCTGCCTTAGCCAGAGGTCCCTGCTAATCCACACCACGGGATCAGCAAACTCGCTCCGGAGGCGAACTCAGGAGAAAGCCTCCGGTGAAAAAACCTACTGGGATGCCAAGCAGGGAGTCCTTATCAGAGTCCCACGCATCCCTCCAGCCAGGAGAGACCTGGGATAAACCAAAAAAAACAAGCCCATTGCTGTTGAGTCGATTCCGACTCATAGGGTCCCTTTACGATTGGACCCTCTATAGAAATATTCCAAACCAGGGTTCTTAAATTGTGGTTCTGGAACAACAGCATCTGCATCCCTGAGACCTTGTTAGAAATGCAGATTCCCCTGTCTCACCCAGACCTATTGAATCAGAAACTTTAACAAGTCCTCCTGGTGATGTGGAAGCTGGCTATAGGTTAAAGACCACTGCTCTAAAACATGAAGAGTCTGAACTGGGGGGTGGGAACAGGTGAGGTGCCTGTGAAGCAGTAATATTATCCCCACTTTAGAGATGAAGCAATGGAGACATAGAAATTGTAAATAACTTTTCCAAATTCACCCAGCAAGGCAAGGAAGGGATGAGCTAGGACTCACACCCTCAACAGGAGTGACCCCTGCAGTGAGGAGGACCCGAGTTCTGAGGCAACTAAGCAGAGACAAGGGTTTCCAGACTCTCAGTCTGCCCGCCGCATGGTCAGGAACTGCCCTGCACCCCAGCTTTTGGGTGAGCACTGGTCTGTGTGAGGCGCTAAGGACAAGGACAGACCCAATGTGTTAGGACAGGAGGAGGGAGGCCTGGGCTCAGGACTTGCCTCACCCTTGACCACTGGCCATGTGCCCGATTCATGTGTCCAGCCCTCCCTGTCAGTCCATCATCAGTCTGATGGCGAGGGATGCTCCTGTCAGGGACCTGGCATTCCAATGGCTCTGGCTGGTGGCCCGAGGCGGGCCAGGGTCCATCCTGTTGTCCTGCCCAGCCCCTCTTGAGCCTGGGTGTGAGGGAGGGTCTCCAGGCATACCACTCTAGAGCAGGTTCTCAGCCTCGGAATTGTTGGCATTTTGGGCTGGACAAGTCTTTGTAGTGGGGGAGGGGGAGCTGTCCTGTAGCAGCTACTCTCAGCTGTGAGAATCAAACGTGTCTCCAGACATTGCCAAATGTCCCCAGAGAGAAGGTGGCCCCAGTTGAGAAGACTGCTCCAGAGTTAATGCCCTCGTGTTCAGCCTGGCTCCTCCCTGTGGGTGAAGGTTTTCCTTCGTCCACAGCCCACACTTGCCAGAGGAGGAACTTCCGGCTGGTGCTTTTCTTCAAAGGCTTGGCTTGCTCGTTTGTACCGATGTTTAATGATACAGGTTTGAACACATCCTCCTTATAAGCCACTCGGTGTTACAGATAAGTGGAGGGTGACTTTGACCACCACCCACTGGGATGTAAGATCCCTGCTGACCTCCTGGCTGGACCTCTGTCCCGGGCACTCCCCTCCCTCCCCAGAGGTCACCCCTGCCAGACCTTTTCCTCTGTGTTTGCATACGTGTATCCTGAAGGTGGGCCACAGGACGGGATAGTTGGGGCCATCCTGCAGTGCTCTCCTCACTCTGCGATTTCTCTCGGGGACACAGTGCCCCACCTCATCTGGATCACAGTGTGGACAGCAGCAGAGCTAAGCACTGAGTGTTCCCGTTTGCTGCCCTGTGCCAGGCAAAGCGGCCATGGAAGCTCTTGGGCCAGATCCGTGTGCACACGGGCGTGTCATCACACAGCCGCTACCTTGTGGGGACATGTAGAGACTGGGTGGTCACTGGAGGCGTCCAACCACATGCCCACAGATGTGTGAAGCACGTTTCTCTCTGCCTCTTCAGCTACTTGGTAACAGCGACCTCTTCATCTGGGGCCCATCTGATGGGTGAATAGGGCCTTTCACAGTTGGCTTTAGTTTCATTTCCCTGTCCCTGGAAAGATGGCCGTCCCTTCTTATGTGTATGGGACATCTGTGCCTCTCTGTTCAGTACCTGCTTTTGGTCTTTACCTGTTTCTTTGATGGATTTTTTTCCTTGTTGATTGTCCGTTCTTCAGGTTCCAAATATTTTCTCATTGGCTTTTGCTTGTCTTTTAATTTTGGTTAGAACTTTTGTCATACAGAATATTTAAACTTTTAATGTGGTCAAATTAATCATTTTTTTCTCCTGCCTTTGCTTGTAATGTGTGTGGTGTTTTGTTTTCTTTTTTGAAGGCCCTCCTTACCCCAGCTTTTAGGGATTTAAATCCATGGTTTAGGGGCAAAAATCCTTCTGACAAACCACTTTCCGGACTGCTCAGGCAAACCAAGCCATGGCTGGCTGGCAAGGGGGACCAGGAGACGCAGAGCATCCTCTATCTGTTCTGTCATTGGGGTGCTGGTGTCTGAGTATGGCACATAGAGACACTCTGTCTCCCTTTTGAACTTTGTGAACACCTAATAGAGTTACTGAGCAGGCAGTCTTTTTTAAAGATCTCCAGGATCCACTCTTATTATAGCCCATTTACACAGCTAATAAGTCAAAACTTAAAGATTTAACAAATTCCCCAGATATTTAAATGTTGACTGCATACGTATGTTTAATCAAATTCTTCTAAACATTTAATTAAAAACTATAATTCTAGTATATCTGATTTCCATGATGTTTTAAATACGCACACAATATCATAGTGGTTATGAAATGAATCAGTTCATTTACGCTAAAACTGGTCATAAAACCCAAATATCACGGATATGAATTTACGTAGTCATCATCTTTCTTACTCTTCCCAGTGTTGTGTTTCTAGAGTGTAAGTACTTTCACTATTGTTTTTGCACCTTCCTAGGGTTTCAGGATTCTCACTAAATCTAAGAGAAAAGAAGTAACTGTCTCAGGCCAGCAGAGTTAGCAAGAGGAACTGAGCTATCCATGGGTTGCTTCTTGGTTGGGAAATGGAGCCAGGTCATGCATTTCAAGGTCACTCCAATCTGTATGTCATTGGGCTAAGCCCTGTTTTATCACAAAGTTTTCATTGTTATACCATGAGACTCTTAGGTTCATACCGTTTTCTAAAATAATTTATTTTATTTTTGTTGTTGTGGAGAATATACACAGCAGAGCATCCACCAATTCAACAATTTCTACATGCACAATTCAGTGACGTTGATTACATTCTTCGAGTTGTGCAACAGTTCTCACCTTCCTTTTTTCCGGATCCCGTTAACATCAACTCACTGCCCCCTAAGTTTTCTATCTAATCTTTAAAGTTGCTGTTGTCACTTTGATCCCATATAGACTGATATTTTTTTTTTTTAATTGTGATCTAGGTGAAGGTTTACAGAACAAATAGTTTCTCATTAAATTGTCAGTACACATACTGTTTTATGACATTACTTAACAACCCCATGACATGTCAACACTCTCCCTTCTCGACCTTGGATGACCTTCTTTTTTTTGGTGAAAATATACATAGCTAAAGATACATCATTTCAAAAGTTTCTACATGTACAATTCAGTGACATCGATTACGTTCTTCCAGTTGTGCTGCTATTCTCACTATCCGTTTCCAAATTATTCCATCACCATTGTCTTCAACTCACTGCCCCCTAGGCTTCCCATCAAACCTTTTGAGTTGCTGTTGTCAATTTGATCTCACATAGATAATTCTTTTTTTTTTTTGGTAATTTATTTATTTTTTATTTTTTCCCATACAAAAATTTATACATACATTGTTATGTGACTCTAATTACTCTCCCCATACTGTGACAGCACACTCCTCCTTTCCACCCCTGATTCCCCATGTCCATTCAACCAGCTCCTAACCCTCTCTGCCTTCCCATTTCACCTCTGGACAGAAGCTGCCCATTTAGTCTCTTGTGTCTACTTGAGCTAAGAGGCACACTCCTGATAAGAATCACTTTATGTCCCACAGTCCAGTCCAGTCCCTGTCTGAAGAGTTGGCCTTGGAAATTGTTTTAGTTCTGGGCTGATAGAGAATCTAGGGGCCATGCTTTCCGGGATACCTCCAGTCTTAGTCAGACCATTAAGTCTGGTCTTCTTACTAGAATTTGAGTTCTGCACTCCACCTTTCTCCTGCTCCATCTGGGACTCTCTGTTGTGTTCCTGTCAGGGTGATCATTGGTGGTAGCCGGGCACCATCTAGTTCTTCTGGTCTCAGGCTGATGAACTCTCTGGTTTATGTTGCCCTTTCTGTCTCTTGGGCTTTCCTTGTGTCTTTAGTGTTCTTCATTCTCCTTTACTCCAGGTGGTTGGGACGAACTGATGCATCTTAGATAGCCGCTTGCAAGCTTTAAAGACCCCAGACGCCACTCATCAAACTAGGATGCAGAACATTTTCTTTTCTTTTTTTTTTTTTTGTTGTAATTAAATGAAGTTTACATTTCAAGTTAGTCTCCCATACAA